AGACGCAATAACGAGGAGATCCACAACAGGCATGGTTGCTCTGTATGGGTTGCATGTGCTCAAGCACAGCAGCAATGTGCAGTCGACCATCGCTTTGTCGACTGGGGAGTCGGAGTATTATGCTCTTGTCAAAGGAGGTTCAGTTGGTCTAGGCCTACAGTCACTCTTGGAGGACTTTGCGGTCGAGACCCAGGTGCTGATTCAATCAGATGCGACTGCAGCAAAAGGAACTGTCAATCGGGCAGGTCTGGGAAAGGCCCGTCACATCCAGACGAGGTTCCTGTGGTTGCAGGAAAGGGTCAGCATGGACCATCTGAGGGTGGAGCATACCCCTGGCAAGTCCAACAGGGCGGATGCTCTAACAAAGAGCATTCCAGGTGTACAGATGTCTGAGACCATGCGAAGGTGTGGTTATGTTTTCCTTGACCAGCGTAGCAAGGGACAGCTTAAGCTACTAGAAGGCTAAGGTCCCTGGCCAGACTCCGCTACCTATATTGCTGTGCGAGCGTGTACAGAGACGCTCTTCCAGCAAGGAGGAGTCATGATATGTATAGTCATAATTGCCCAATGCGCTGATTGCACTCCGTGTGGTTTTGGCTCAAGAAAAGGGTGCGCTCCGCAGTGCACCCCAGAGCCGAGATATTGCATTTTGAGCCTTCAAAGAGCTCGTACGCAAGCTCTATGACCATGTTGGTACCAAAAATCAAAGAATTTGGGAGCTGCTGCAACAAAAGACTAGCCCAAGCGAGCATTCCCCAAGTGCGGGTGGATTGTCTCTTTAATGGGGTGCCCTCAAATAGGCAGACTCTCTTTCATTCCCTGTTTGGTTGTGACTGTACTCATGGCTCCCATGAGGCCAATCCTGCGAAGTGGTCCATTTCCCCACACCCGTGTTTGGCAGGTGTGCCGACAGGCATCTCTGGTGAAGGGCAAGGATGCCTGGAGCCTCAGCTGTCCACGGTGCCATGCAACACGTGTCTTTCTTTCGCGGCTGGCTGGATCGTCCACCCTTAACCTTTGGGGAAATGTGAGCTTTCAGGCTAAGTAGCAAAAGTTGATATTGTTGCGTGGGGAATAGATTCACAGTTGTGTGTTTCGTGTTGTGTTGCTTGCATTAGCGAGCCGAATGTCCGTCTTGCGTTTCTGGGCATGTTTGGTCGCCAATCCGCTAAAGAACCACCCCTCTTGGGCTCAAGGAGAATCATCAACTCAGGGATGTGACCCATGACCATGACCCGATTTTCACCGTGGCAACTGAAACCTGCAGTCCATATCCTGGTAGAGTAATTTTCACCCATACCCACATGTGCCCCGTTGGCTTTTAAACTCGAGGTCATGGACCACACCCAGGAGAACTTTAGCATCGTCTTCGGAGCCATGGGTGGACGGCCTAGAGCTGGACTGGACGGCCCCCATTGCGACCCCAAAAGATAGTAGACAATTGGTTGGGCTTCAACTTCACTGTTGTTGGATCATGATGTTAGGTTTTAGGTTTTTTGTTCTGTTCATTTTTAGTAGGGGGCTGCACGAAACAAAGGTTTTTTCAGCCATTCCCAGGGTTGGAAAGCTTGCTGCACCCAGGGTCAGATATCTACCCTTGTGATCGGGTCTTTGAGCAACCCTGCCCTCAAACGGAAAGCAAGGCTTAAGCGACGGTCCCGTCCCCGTTTCATGTTTAATTCTTTAATCCTGGGCCTGGCAGCACTTCCTTGTAGGTTTGCAAGCAGAGTGGCTTTAAAGTCCGAAGAGAGGATTCGGTTCTCAATAGTAGGAATTGGAAGGTTCCCGCGGGAGGAATCCCCACTAAACAAGGACTCCTGATCAGCTACAAGGTGAACGGAGGGGGTTGTTGCTTAGAGGTCCAATCAGTGGTCGCCAGTAGTAGTTTAGTCCCATGTTAAAGCAAACAGGAGCAATAACAACACACATAAAACTGCGGATCCGCCAACGCAAAGGTGAACCTGGAATGAAATTGGGCCAACGGCCAACCCTCACACGCCTGAGGTGTGAACATGGAGACCGCGCGCTTCTTCCGGAACGACTTCGAAGAGTCCCGGGCTCGGACAAAAGTTCTCAAGGGTTGCCCTTTTCTGGTTGGAGGGAAACCGCTCATTTTTCGAAACCCCCGTTTTTAGTTGAGCCCAAACACTGGCGGCCAGAACCCACCCTTTTTGGTTGGTGTTGCAGGGAAGCCAAAAGGGACCCGTCTTTTTTTGCACAGCCCGTTTTTGGAAACACGCCCCTGCCTCTTTGGAAACTGAGAGGCGGCCCTGTTCACGGTGGAAAGTTCTGGGGGCACGCGATGCTCCCAACAGTGGCAAAAAGAACACCCTGACATGATGTTTGACGCTGGAAAGCGATTTCCGGCTGCAGAAACGGTTCCATGGAGAACGTCGTGCTCTTCATGAACCTCGCCAATGCGGGGCCGCCAAGCGGGAGCTGAGAGAGTGCTTGGATATGCAACCCACAGATTGGTAGCTGGGCAGGCGATGGTTGTATTGTATATAGGGTAGTGACGAGTAAGGTTTCCCCAAACAAAATGAGGAGGGTCAACAGAGAGAAACCTAAAAGCACAATGGGGGTCAGGCTGCTGCCTGCCCACATAGTCTTCCAGCAAGTTATGTTTAGTACTGGCTTAGTGTTGGTTTAGTAGTGGTTAAGTAGTGGTTTAGTATTCTTGTGTGCTGGCTCAGTACTGTTCCGAACTGGTTTAGTATTGGATTATTCTTCCTTTGAGCTGGCCCAGTACTGTTTAAAGTTGGTTCAGGTGTTGATTTCGTATTCCTTTGCGCTGGCCCTGGGTGCAAAGCTGTTTTCTTTATTTCCTACCCTTAAACAATCCATATTACCTTCCTGGGTGTTCCCTGTACCACCCCCTTGCAAATTTGGCTGGGTGGCAGCTTTTAGAGTCTCATAGAGAAATTTGGATGTTTGGGGACCTCAGTCAGGTTGGCTTGTCCATTGCCTTCCTTCAAGTCAGGAGGCAGCCCCAACAACTGTTTCTTATGCACCTGGAAAACATCCCGGATTTGTTGACCTCCAAAATGTTGTTTGTGTTCTGCCTACCCTTATTGCTTTCAGGTGAGGGAATAGTTTGCATAGTTTTTGCTGTTTTGACTCCCACTTTCTTAGTTGCTACCCGACAATATGTCTGGTATTTGAGTCGTAGCCATGGTCACAACCTTTACCGAACACGGTTCACCCACAAGGTTCCCTTTTTCCACCAGGGTCCCTGTGCAATTGGGAAGAGTTCTGCAGACACCACCCATTTCATTTGTTTTGCTTGGGCCCCTCTCTGAAATCGACCACATGGGGAGCCCTCAGCCGGTTTTGAGCTCAATCTGGGCCGCGCCCAGGACCCCACCATTGAGCGCATTGTCACGCCCCGACTTGCGCTCACTACAGCAGAGTACTTCGCGCTGCTCGGCACAAAAAAGCAGCGGCATGGTTTGTGTCTTTTGTACCCTTCACCTGAATTGGTGTTTGGCTTGGGTGGCTGGGGGTTGAACCCCTGGTTCTCGCGGGTAAATGGAAAACCCCCTAGTCTTCAAACCACCAAAGCACCAAGAGAGAAACTGTTATTTCACCTTGGTTGGAGGAAAACCGAGAGGAAGCCACATTTTTTTGGGCCCCCTATGTTGACAATATGTTTGAGCAGTTGGGGAACGTGCCTTGAGTGAATCGACTCGCAGTGCAAAGTGAATCGAGGGGATTTTGGTAGCCCCTTTAAAAGGCGGCACCAGGGTCCAAAAAGGGACTATTTTTTTGACAACTCCCAAACGGCAGTTGATATTCCGAAGGCACTGTGATTCCACGAGAGTGGGTCCTGCTTGCTCCAAGGTATACGCGCGAGCAGCACGTTTGGTGCCCCAGCCGCGCATCCGTGCCCCCTTTGCCTGTACTTGATCTGAGTAAATCAATGTTCAGCTGAGGAGCCAGATGCAATCTCGGTGCTAGATAGACCATAATGTCCAATGTTTCTCAAAAGGACATCCGTTTTCAAAAGGCGATAATTTTTGACACCGACTGGTAACTGCTGCAGGTCTTCGTGATTCTCACGGACATGAGTTCATATGCGGACGCCCTGCGAGAGGCCCGGTTTGACTGCTTGGTGTCAAAGCTGGCGCCTCTTGGCTCCAATTGTCGGAGCTTCAGACGCATCCCATTGCCATGAAGCCTGACTGGCTATGATGTCCACCACGCCCAAACCGCTGAAGTCGCTACGCCCAGGAGGAAATCGGGGCATACCATTTACGCACTGTAGTGCCTATAAAATGGTTGCATATCACTGTAAACCCCTGGCGGCAGTAGCTTGTGGTAGTGGAAGCCATTTTGGAGACTGGGTGTCACATGGCAGGTGTCCGCGGCACGAGAGGAGGTGCCCGGTCGACGAGGATATCCTGGATACATGTGCCCTCGAGCTGGGTGTTCAACGCATTGGTTTGGGTGAGTCTTTTTTTAGGGGTCCCCAAAATAGTGATTGTCCATTTAGTTTCCCTTAGAATCCATGAAAATTGGGGTGACCTCGGAAAGGACACACCATATCCAATGATGAACGAAAGTTTGATGTTTCGTTTACCTGGATTGCATTCTGGCATGGTGCTTGTGCATGACACATGTGGCATGCCTCAGCCAGAGTCTGGCAGGTACACAGCCGGGTCCTCAGAGCTAAGCTATCAACCCATCCGTCAGCTGCAATTTGCACCCCGCACCTCACAAGGACTTGTCAACCATCTACGAGCGAGCTGGACGCGTCGAGGGGCGCTCGGGGCTCGGAATTCACAGGATCTCATTTGGTTGGCATGCGGAAAGCTATATAAATGTTAACTTCCCAAAAGCAAGCAAAAAGAGGATGGATAGTTACTTTTCTCAGACCTATTCAACACCTAGTTGTGCCCAGATGAATTTCAGATGAATTTTGGAATTACCGAAACGACTTAGATTTGCCGAGCGCTCAGCGCTGAGGAAACGGCTCCATCACCCAATTCCCCATTCTCACCATGCCCAACGACGCTGGGCGCTTGGGGACACTATTGGCGTAAGATGCCAGTAACTTGGCATCCGCAACTTGGCTTCAGGACATCACACACCCCATCCCCGACCTGACCGGCTACATCACGGAGGGCCAGGCAGCATCTCCTTGTGAGCACCATGCAGCCCCGTTCGACTTGTCCAGCCGTTTAAGTTTCATGCACTTGTGATGTTTCGCCTCACTTCGCAGGTGTTCGTGGACCGGGCTCTGCACAATAGGCAGATCTACCCGCCGATCAACGCATCAGACTCAAATCGTTCCGGAACGGATTGCCACGTAGTTCAGGCGGTTCTTGTAGGCGGTTCTAGCTTGCACCGAGGGGCAAGGTGTCAGAACCATTTAGTTAGAACCCATTTTAGGGTCACCCAAGTAGTTGGTGTGCTGATTGTTATGGAGTCGTGGCTGCCGCTTGCCGCATTTTACCAAACGAATCAAAGCGAGGTGCTGCCATCTCTGAGCCGATTGATGAAGTCCGGCATTGGCAAGGGTGCAGCTGGCCTGTTTAGAGCAAAAGCACTTCAAACAGAAGGGAGGCAAGAGCAGACATGCTCTTCAAGTGCTTCTTCTTTGTGGTGTAACATGTGACAGATGCCAAGTGGAGGCATGACACGGGACGACCACCCCAACGTCTCCGATCAGCTCTATGCCAACTATGCCATCGGCCAGGCGAAATGTGTTGCGCCGCTTTCCGTGGCACAGTGGGGCGACTCGCGTTCGGAAGCTGATCAGGATGCACCTGTCAGGACACCCGCGCGATGAAGGCCGTGGTGGGTGAGGAGGCCAGCTAGCCAAAGTCTCTTGAGTCTCTTGTGCCAACCAGCTGGGTTCGCTGCATTAGCGCTGTGTGAGGCCCTCAGCGAGGATGAGTGGAGCCGACGATTTGTTCTTGCCTCCAAAACAGCCAGAGCCGCGACGATGCTGCTAAGTTGTTTCATTGGGGCGCGATGGTGTAACCTCGCTTGAACGGCGCTATGCATTCCATGAGCTTGAAACTTGAACTGTCTCCTGCGGGAAGTGTGCAACACATGACAAAACAAGGTGGCAAGGTCATGTCTGAGCGAGAAGCAATGAGCCAACATGTTTAAGCATGGCAGGCATAAGTACCTGGAGTTCACTGACAAGTTTGAGCTGAAGTTCTTGTGGCATCCTGAGGAGAAAATAACTGAGTTCCCCAAGCAGGGAAACAGTTTGTGCGCGTGTGTGTGTGTGTGTGTGGTGCATTGCTCTCTGTTGATTTGTTTGACCTTCCAAGGGCGCAGGGCGCATACGAGAACCGAGACATCTTCACTTCTCTGGACATTGCCGGGGGCCATACTTGCGGCGGGTGTCGGCGCACACGTGCACAAATACTTGCCAGAGAGAGACAAAAACAAGTTTGTCAGTGATGGTTATGCAACGCTGTCGCATCAGTTGCTCTTTGCAGGGTTGCTCCAAGCCTTGGCGGAAGCTAATTTTCTACCCTTTTGCCAAGGATCTTGGAGCAACCCTGGTTTGCCGTGCCGATGTTCTTCGTGACTGCTTGATACGCGTGCGCGCGAAAACACGCGAGTGGCATCGGCACGAGGCTTGGACGCTGCTGCGAATCTTCCCCCAGGAGTTGCTGAAGAAGATCCCGCAGAAGCTGAAGGCCGGAGAACCAGAGCCATGGGATGCTTGGGTGTGTTTGAGTTGGTACCCTTTTCAGGGTTGGTTTAAAGAGAAACCAAAAAGAACATCCGTTTTGACTGCGGTCCCTATTTTGCTGACTACTGTTGTGGTCCCCTATTCTGACGCAGGATCCCCGTTTTGGGACTGAAAGGAATGGACATTGTTGATTCCCGTCCCCGAGTATGTGCGCAGGCACGGTAGTACGGAATACCTTGGTGAAAGGTCCCTTTTTTGTACATGTCCATCGGTTGGTAAAAGGACAATGAATACCACATGCTGTATGCTGCAGTGATGGTTGGGCAACTTGAACACTTGCCAGGACAAGTACTACGACCGGGAGAAGGAGATCCAGAAAGCTGTGCAGTCACTGAAGTGAGCGAGCCTGCAGCACTGCATGTGTTAGCGACTTCCGAAGTCAATGGGCGTGCGATACATTTTGTGAGGCACCAGGCAAAGCCACGTGAAGATGTGATGTGAGTGTTTTTGTATGCGCAGATCAGTTGATTGATGGCTTGGAGTGTAGAATCTGGCAGTGACTTGTGCAAGCGGTTGGCAGATGCCGACCGCTTGGGAGCAAATCAGAGCATTGGGATTCTGCAGAAGAAGTGTGCGCCATTTGCAGCATATTGCCATTGAGATGCTTGCTTTGATTCGAAGACGTCGGCGTTGTGCTTTTGCTTGTGAATACTGTGTGTAAAACATCGGCATGGGAATGCATTTTGGAGACTGTTTCCGGAGGACTTGGAAAAGGAAACAAGTTTAAAGAGGCCTTGTTGGGAACACTTCCTCTTGCAGTGCCTGCTTGCGACATTTGCGTTCTCACTTGCTAATTCATCTTGTTCTCCGGATCTTTGGTATTTGGTTTCTGGGGAAACGCACAGTGACTAGTAATGAGCTGCGATTTCAGGCTTAGTTTACCGTATTGAACCCTTTTGCCTTGTTGGTGCTCCTTCATTTCCCTTTCTGCCGGCAAAAGGCGAAAACTTGTTTCAGTCTAAGATTCAGGACCTCAGGGCACCCTGTGGTTGCATTTCATTTGTAAGATTGTAAGGGCTAGACCAGTGAGTGTGTTGTTGGTGTTGAAAGGAAACCAACTAACTGGAAGCCGTTGCCATGTTTGGGGGAGTCTATTTTCAGACAAGCCCAGTGTTCTAAGTCCGCGAATTTATATCTGGCTTTTCGGTTTCATGGATCCATTGCTTCCAGCAATCGCCTTCCAGGTCCTTTGCCAAAGGGGTTGGGGAGATGGTTTTGGTCCCTGGTCCCAACTGTTTTCCTGACCGTACCAAACTCTCCACGGCTCAAGGGAAAGACGAGAAGAGATGATTCACATCTAGTCAAAGCTTCTTTGGTGCTTTCAAGTTGTTGCCTAGCTTTTGGCAGTGAATTTCACAGAGCCCTTCAACACAGAGGTTAAGGCGTCAAGACCTTGCACTGAAACTGAAAAGCATGCGGTGCTTAAAAATTGGGGACCCTTTTGTTTGGTGTTGACAGGAAAACCGAAGTGAAACAAGCTATTGTCCAAGGTGTTTTTTGGTTACACCCCTGTCAAGTGATGCTGAGTTTAAGACTGACATTTGGCAAGGGGTCTAAGAGAGCAGCCTGGATCCCGGCAAGATCCTATGCTGGGCCTGACGCCGCGGTGGCGCCCCGTGTAATGGGCGTTTGCACATCTCGTAGATATCGGCCACTTGGAAATCAAAGAGTTTCTCAAAAAAAGCCGAATGGACACTTACTTGAGTGTGTGCTTTTGAGGGTACCCTTTCAGCTTGGTTAGAAAGACAGCAAAGGAAGACCAGAATCCATTTTAGACTTGTCTCCTCCGAACATATTCGCTATTTTAGGGTAGACTAAACGGAACAGAGTCAGAAAATACGGCTTTCTGTACTCTGGTGTGGGCCATAGGATCAATTGCGAACGGAGTTTTTCACACGCCCAGGAGCTCCAACGTGGTGGTCATCACAGACCCGAGGCACCAGCGGGGGGGGGGTGTTTTCGGGCCCGCCCTTGAAAGGTAAAAAGGACTACCTGACTAGAAACATGAGCAAATATGATGCTTTTCCCCTTGTTTTCTCCTTGGAAGCCACAACAAAAAGAATTCCCTCAAAGAAGACAAACCCAAATATGTGTTGGGCGGGTCATACTTTGTCACTCGTCCTTGTTCAAAAGAATGTATGCCAACCTTGTACCAAAACTGGCCTCAGTGGCCGAGAGGGACTCCAGCATTTTGACCCCCACCCACTGCAGGTTTGGGTATTGGAGGGTCAACCTCAACATTTGAGAGTGCTCCTTTTAGGTGATTTAGTTGAGACATCTAAATTTCGGAAGGCGCCTCAGAACGTTCCAGAACACTGCAAAATGGTCGGACGTTGACATCCCCGTTCGATCTCCATGGTGCCAAAGGGACAGAACCTGAGAGTTGCCTAAAGTCACCTGCTCCCTTTCGGCATGAATTTCCCCAAAAACCTAGCCAACCAGTTGGTTGGGCCAGGCGACAAAGCCTGGACCATGAGCTGGACGACGAGCTCGCCAAGTTTCCGGAGTACTGGGTGCGCGCCCACGGTGCTTGCACGTACACCCATTGTGCCACGGGCAACAGACCCTCTTACCAGACATATCAGGAGGCTCCCTTTGAGTTTTGTTCTTTTACACCATGCCAGGGGGCAATGAGCCTCAAAAGAGGAGACACACATTTGGCCAAGGTCACTCGCGACTGCCCGCAACCCTTCCACAACATTGTGGAGTGCGGAACGGAAGAGCTTACCCACGTACAGGACGCCAGCGCCCGCGAATTTTCGCAGTTGGGTTTGAAGGAAGCAAAGATCCAAAAAGTGCTCGGAACTCCCAAAGACAAAGCCATAGCAAACAGAGCCCCATTTTGTCACTGCGGCGACGCAGGGTTAATCTCAGGGATGTCCCACTTGTGGGCTCCATTTTGAAGCCCATCCCATGGTGTCAACGCTTCGAGTGAGGGTCCCTTCGTCAGGTTCGTTAGGGTAGGTCCGAAGAATGCCCTCCCGTGCAGTTTACACACTATTTACCTTTGGAACGGGCAATCTTGATTGTGCTTGCTTTTGAGGTGATGCTTGAAGGCAAGGATATGAGGAGCACTGCTCTGGCTTTCATTCCTGGACTTTTGGGTGGCTAGTCCACTCAGGCTTGTTGAGAAGTGGAGATAGCTTGGTGAGATGTTCCGCCAAGCTGCAAAGGGATGGTTCGGAGGGTATGTACGGAGCAGGGTGCTCAAGAACCCGTGTTTTCGCAAGCCCACAAGCGATTGGAGTTTTTCCGGAGTTTCCCTCGTGGCTCCCTACTGCCCCCCTACACACCCCCTATTGACCCCCTATTGACTACTTGGATTCCGCCCTTTGCGTTCGTGTCCTTCGGCTCAGGAGATCATGGACCGGACCATGTATGCTCCCGGCGAGGCAAGTTCTCAGTCACGAGCGGAGCACAAAGGGTCCCATGTGTTTGTGGATTCGTCTGACCTCAGGGTTCCGAGCCATTCCCGCTTTTGGACCTCCAAAAGTGGCACTCTTCACTGGAACCCGCCTGTAAATTGATCAACTTGTGAGGTGGAAATCTACTGCCCCTACATAAACATGGGTCATTCGCCAAGAGAAAGGAGCCATGGAAATCCCGCCCATTTTTGATTCGGGTCATGGACACTCCAATACAGCCTTTTGGCTGGTCCCAACCAAACCTCACGCGGGGCTTAGAAGCATCCGGAGCTATCTAATAAAACTCAGGCCTCCCGAATTGGTGGTTTTGGTTTGCAAATATAGATGGGAAGCCGCCACTCAAGCTTCCTGCTGTTTACTGGTGACCCTTGTTTTAACCATGGAAGTGGAGGATCAGAAGGTTTACGAGGGTTGGCAAAAGGGCTGCATACATTCTACGCAGTAATTCCCTTCACCCTTCCAGTTGTTCCAAAAAGTACCCATTCCGCCCAGTTGTTGGCCAATGTCTACTTCTATGGTTGGAAATGTCCTTTTGGCTTCCAGGCACCGCATCGATGCAAGATCCAGAAGCTCTTGCGTGTGGAGGACGTGTGATGCCGGAGTTCAGCGCTGGATTGGAGTCATGTGGAAAACATGTGCAAAACAGGGGGCCTTTGGCTCTTCGGGGGATCTCTGTGACAACTTGCGGGAAGCTCCTTCCAAGTGACAACGTGAAAGTGTTGTCACAGAGGCAGTGATCCACTTGATTGAAAGTCGGGGAACAAGACTTGAGTCCCAAAGTCCCAATGCAACCTGCGAGGATTCCAAGATGTGGAACACATACGAGAGGACACGGCTTAGTGTGAGCTTGAGCCATGCAGCTTTCACATGCTTCGTTGCACCGAGATGCCGGCAAGGAGCGTAGCATGTCTTGCGGAAGCTCGCACACAAGAGGCGCGTGCTGAAGTGTGCAAAGCGCGCTTGAGCGTGCCATAAAACCTGGAGCTTAGGACGAGCCGCCTGATGCGCCTTAGCCGCCTTAGCAAGAAGAAGGGAAAAAAAGAAAAGGGGAGGCGGAGGTCCACGAGGAGCCGCCTCGGTCCACGAGGTCCGAAAGTGTTTCCCGTTTCACGCACCGAGGTGATCCGAACGCCCCACTCCGGGACCGAGTGCCCCAGGCCTTTGACCTGGCGCCTCGGATTCGGAGCCCGACTCGAGACTCCTGGGTTCTCCAAAAGGGCCTGTTCCGTTTCTGGGGTCTCGCTTGATCCGTTTTATATCTTAGAGTAGGCAGAATAGCCAGAATCTGATACGATGTTCTGTTTACATTGTGTACCCGTTGTGGGAGCCCTTGGTTTTGTCTCCAATATGGAGCCCCCAAAGCTGGGTTATTGAAGCCGGCCAGTTTTTGACCCCAGGTTTGCAAGACCCTCCCATTTTGGGGGGAAGATCCTTTTTTCCTTTAAGCTAAAAGGTACCCTCAAATTGGACACACCCACTTGAGCCACGGCTGAAGGGCATGTAGATTCAGCCTATTTGCCATTTGAGGGGATTGAGTTTAAGCCAAAGCCACAATCCGGTAAGTGAACGGTCAAGTGTCAGGGGCAGTCCCGGCAGCCAAAACCACTGGGGCCCGTGTTAATTTGGCGTTGTGCCAGTTAACCTGTAAACCTTTGGGAAAATGACTGCTTCCCTACCAGCAACAGGTCATTAGACCTTTTGGGGGTCGACCAGCCTGGTTGAACTCTACCAAAAGACGGTGCCTGTTTTTTCCACGGCCACAGGTGGCATGCGCGACATCGAATGTCCGTAGATTCCTTTAACATGGGTTCCCCATTTTGAGGCATTCATGTAAAATGATACGTGATTTTTGTCAGAGACAAGACTCGAATCCCAGATTTGGGGTTGCACATGCAAGTCTAAATTGGCAACCATGCAGTTATTGGAAATACTGCCTCATCGTTTATTTTGCCCGGACCTTCTCCTTGACCCGGGGTGGTTGCAGGGTGAGCCCAGAGTGGCTTTGGCATGTTTGAACATGGGGTTGAAGGCTGATAGACCGGGGGGAAACGTTGTCCATCATTGGAGAGTGCTCCGGGTTGCGTGCGCGTCTCAACCAAGGCGAGTCGCCTCGGATGACTTCCGGAGTCGGCTTCGCCTCGAGTGCAATGAGGTGGGTCGCGCATGTCTTGGATTGAGAGGCGCGAAGTCATGCTACCCTGAAGGCATACTTATGGCACGGCACAGACCGCAAATCAGCCGAGAGCATTATAGGTGATTGGCTGAGATGAGCGCACGGTGCAGTTTTGTTGTGGACAGTCTCTGCTACACGTCGTGTTTGATTGCATTCGCGTGTCCTGCTTTCTGAGGACACCACTTTGACATGAAGCGGGCAGGGCTGCTTGGCTGCATGGAAAAGGCTGCGCTGGGTCAAACAATGTCGTTGCCACCTGGAGGACGGTGAATGCCAAAGCTCTGGGCAGAGGCTGGGCAGGGTTGTTACTGGCAAAAGCATAACGACTCACGAGTAAGATTGGGTTCCACCTGCAGATACAGGCAAGCTTCCTTGTGATGGCAAAATGGTCACGACCGGTGGTATGATGGGAACTCGGGGAGAACCCCCCAGTGGCCAAGACAATTTGGTGAGTGTTCCCCATGTCGTCCCCTCAGCTCCAGGGTGTTTTTTTGGTTTCGCACAGGTCGGTTTCCAGCAGTCAACACCCCCGGTTTCTCTGGTACCCCCTTGAAAACACCCAAGGTCCTTTTCCAGATGTTGACACCAATTGGATACTCGCCGGGGAACTTGACATACCCCCAAGGCAATGAAAGGAGACATAATAGCTTCCAAAATTGAGGGTTTGCCGGGCTCCGTGGGAGAAGTTCTTCGAAGCTGTTTTGTTTTATGGCAACGTTGGCTTTTACCTTGCAAGCCACTAGGCCGGTGTCGGTGTTCCTTCTTGGAAAACACTGATGTGAGAAGCTGGAGGGGAGGACACAGCGACGGGGCCTGCCAAATTCCCAATACTGGGGGCACTGGGAAGAGTTCAATGTTGTCCATCGCTGTGAACTGTCACTCCCCCTGTTCTCCAACTTCTTTGGACCAAAAGTGGCAGTAGATCATTGGAACCTATCAAATCGCGCAACTGTAAACAATGTGACGTGGGGAGCTTGCGGACCTCGAGGCGGATTCTGCTTCGGTTTCCCTTTTCTAGGCAATTCCCCTTAGCCCCGTCCCTCACCCCCGAAGATGTTCTTGGGGTGTTCCTTTTCGCTTCCCTTCAAAACCGACCCAAACCGAGAACAAGTCCTCACACAAAACAAAGTCCAGCCCTGGAAGGCGCGTACTTTGCTGAGACCTCCTTCCTTGCCGACAAGTACGCGCCGGAAGGGCAGGATGGGCTTCGGGCCGCTCAGCCAAAGAATCGGACGAGGAGGAAAACACGGGACAGGGGCTGTGGGTTCAAAAGAGGAGTTTCATTTGAAGAGATGTCCAAGTTAGCGGATTGCGGGTGATGCCGTTTACGGGTTGGACTCTGCGGGTTTCAGAGCACACTTTGCAGCGCGGATTGCGGATCAAAAAGATTTCCAACCAGAACAAGGATTAAGCGGATTACAGATTGTAATTCGGCCCCAATGGATTTCGAACAGGTTGATTTGCAGCAGAGAACGAATATACAGGCATGAACAGCGGCCGCAGCTCGTTTTGAGACGCTTTCCACGAGGAAGCAAATGCCGGGTACTCGATGGGCAAAAGCCGGAAGGGGGGGGGGGCAGCTCCAATTTTCCAGCATCGCGACAGGGCTGCATTTCCCCAGTTCAAGCATCACCTTATGCTGACATGAACAATGTGGTCACGGGCCCGAGGATTTCCCCAGGAAAGGCTGAACAGAAGCCCCTAAGCCCTAAGGCTTAAGACACGACCACCCGCCCGTACACCCCCAGGTTTCAACCGGATCGCGTGCGAGTCGCTCACGTAAGGCTGTCCTTTTGGTCAGAGCTGCCTTGGGCCGGGTCTATGTGGAGACTAGGCGCGATATCTCGGATCCGACTTCACGGTGGCCCAATGGACCCTTTTGGATCGGTGACATGTGGGTGTGGCTCAAATTTTATGCAGGGGACCGCAGGTTTCAGTCTTCTTGTCCATTTGCCAGGTTGGGATGGGTTTGCAGTAAATAGTTACGAGCTCACCTGAGGTAAAACAAGCTCATCCATGATGAAGGTCCCTCAATGCCCAAACTCAGGCTGGAAATAATGAATACAGACAGGCGTGTTTCGAATTGTCCCAGCCCACGATGTACCATCCAGATTGTTTAGGCTGCTTCATTGTCTGCGTTTAAAGTTTGCCATGTTTGCCCTCGGAGGGTTTGATTGCCACGAGCAAAGACATGTTTTGGTCAAATAGATAGTCGTGCCAAAATGAAGAAGCAACCATCACGTACCTAGCTTGCATGGCAAAGAAGGATATGAGTCACTGAGTAAATATCGTCTAGTTTGGGGTGTACACGCTGAGGCCAGCACGGTTTGTCCAACATACCATCACGAGGAAAAAGAATGCTGCATGCGGCTCACACGTCAAGCATGGATGAGCAGAGCAATCAAAGGATCATCATGGCTTATTGCTGCAGGTATACCAAATGGCGAGGAGGCAGACTGAAGCGCATGGTTTCGGCCAAGCACGTGGTCAAAGAAGGTAAGTTTGACAGTGCTCCTTGAATGCAAGGCGCGTTTTGCATCGCTGCACTTGACTTGGAAATCCCAAACTCTGAGTTGGATTGTTGCACGTGTTGCGATGGATGCCATTGAGCTGTCTTGCACATTGAGTCAGTGGCCCCCACTACTGGCTGGCTGCATAGGATGAGAGGAGCAAGCACAGGGGTTTTGCGAAGTGCGGCTGCTTGAGGTTCTTGGAGACCGAAAGTTTGCCTTCAACACAGATGCTCGCGAGTACTGTGTGTCGAACACTGGCCAGCTATATCCAGAGTATATGTGACCTGGCAAGCATTGCTTGATTGTTTCCTGTCAAGAGTGTATCAGAACTTAGGTGCCTGTACTCCCGACAAGATCCACAAAATTCACAAAAGCCCGGCTGGCAGTCCGAGTCTGGCGGAACGACTTCTTGAAGTGGTGCGCTTGCTAGCCGCACACTTCCAATTTCCAGTTGTTGTTTCTGGCCCTTCGATGCTGAAGGCTGGCGTTGGCATTCTCATGTGCGATTCCGCTGCCCTTTGCTCATTGGCTGCCAACCAACATGGCATTTCACGAGAATTTGGCTGAAATCCTTGCCTGCGGTGCTTTGAGATGAGTTTGGGACAGCCAGATCGTGTCATCATAGAGTTTCACAAGGCGGCCCTCGAATGAGGGCTTTGCCTTGCGTACACCTTGTAGCCAAATGTGATCGTGGCTAAGGAATTTTATAATAGCGAACATGTCCGCGCGAAATGTGTGATCATGTTGTTGATTACGTGAGCTTTGATCCTAGTCGGGTTCAGATATTGAACATGTAAATGTAATGTTCATTTGAACATGAAAATGAGTTGCGAGGGTTGTTTTGCAGAGCAAGGAGGGTATTGTAGAAAATGATGTTGAGGCACGTGATATCGAATGATATTGATTGGTGATTTGTACTGAGCTGAAGTTTGAATGTCTCCAGCGAGGTTCCCGGCCATGATTAAGGCTTCGTGGATTTGGCTTCTCCCCGCATGTCGACTGGCTCCGCCGCTGAAGGCCACAAGTCAAGATATGGATACGGCGTTCACCCCCATGGATTCTAGCGAGTAGACTTTCACGATGAAGCTGAAGCTGCATTCCAGCATCGCCGGTTCCCACCAAGCAAGTCATGCACGAAATTCGAAAAATATCATCGGGTTGGCAGAGATTTGGTCGGCAATTTGGGCTTCATAAGCCAATCGGAGGGCTCAGGTGCAGGCTTGAGCTGTGCACCATGAGACGCCGTTGGCTGCTTGCGCTTCTGTGCTCAGGCTGGACACTGAACATGTGATGCCATTGTAGGGGTTTCCATGGACCCGAGGAGATTTGACATTGGTGGATTTTGGCATCAAATCGGATGGTTGAAGTGCTGGAAGGATCAAGTCATCGATTCTTCGGCAAGAAGCTTACTGAGTGTGACAAATCACTATCTTTCAGCGGAGACAAACTAATCTAGGACAGCCCTCAGGAAGATACTAGTACTAGGGACTTGGTTGTGTTGTGTGTGGGTTTTCAGACATAATTTTAGTCATGTGCGGTTTTGACAGATGAAGATAGTAAGTCAGCGGATCCACATCCGCATGCGTGATGGGCGAGCATGGGTCTTGGCCAAACGAGAAGCCCAGAAAAAGCCCTGGCTCCAGGTCTCGCTTTTGTGCCCAGCCGGCGCAGTGAAGCCCCGCTACGAAGGCTGGACAACGGGGGCCTGTGCGCCCAGCTGGTTTTTAGCAGCCTCTTGATAGGTCACCCAAGTTGGAGGTCTAAAGAAGGGGCTCTCCATAAAGCATCCAATATGGGGCGAGGACTTTTGCAAGTATCCTTTGTAGGTGATTTTCAAGATTGCAACCAAAGAGGACAACCATGCAAGGGCGTTCTCCTTCGCACAAATCCCTGGGTGCCATCAATAGCAACCGTAGACTTTTCAGTTTCCCCGGAAGGAAACCAAAAGGGGGCTGGGTTGTGGGCATCAGTGGTTGGGAAAGCCCACTTTGGTGATACCTTTCTAGAAGTGCTACCCCCTTCAAAAAACGACAAGTGATTGGGAAGGTCTTCGAGTGGCGTCGACATGACAATTACAACAACTGGATATCTTCCGTGGTGGATCAGTCACAGTCGAGTGGAGGCCCATCGAGTGGAGGCCGTCTCAATTGTTCAGTCACCAGTCGAGTAGTGGACCGTTCAAGGATCAAAAGCAATCAGCTGTTGCGACAATTCTAGATAACTAGTCTTGACTTCCCGTTCTGAGTCTCCTTTGTTGCGAATGAAACGGCTTTTGCGACGTTTGACCAGTCCCCTGTTCTGCTTATGCTCATCGGAAAGGAGTTGCAAGCGTGCCTCCACGAAGGACTGTCAAGTCTTGTTTTTCCCTGTCGGTCAACGAAAGGAACACAAAACAAAGACTTGAGAAAATCCTTTAAATGGGAGCTCCGACCTTCTAATTTGGGGGCATGGTGTCCCGTGAATGGAAGTCATGTACGCAACCAGGGGGCACCTCACCACATGTGAATCAGACCCCAGGCATTCGGGCAGGCAGAGAGAAACGTGAGGGACTCTAGGCATGGGCTAGGAACCCTCAAGAGATGGCGCCCTGTTCTGTGCCGAGCACGCCAACTTGAATGACTCTACGGGAAATCAGCGTGCCTCCCATCACCCCTCCCGCCACTGACTCATTGCCAAGCGTGTGCCGCGTTGCTTGAGGTCGCGGCTTGCGCTGTCCGCGCGCAAACGGTCCCAGGACTTGCTCTCCGGGGAGACCTTCTCAAGGAAGGCGGGGAACGAATTGACTGGATCTCGAAGGGTTCGCGTGAGAATGGTCAAAAACAGACAGCCGGGAATGCGCAGTCCGTCGTCAGGATGTAGAACAGCCCGACAGGTTCCCAGGTCAAAGTTCCGAAAGGCCAAGCTGGTCTTCCGTTTCCCGGTCCTTCGGACGCAATCAACACCTGGGGTGAAGATCAGTACCGCAAAGAAGTGCAGTCCAGATGCCCATCTTCATGGGGTTATGTCAGCCATTGAACAGCCCGAAATTAAGCATGCTCATGTGGGTCCTTATGTGGTTTTGACTTATTTGGATGGCTCGCCGGCTCTGCGACTTTTTTGAAGATTCAGGAATCAGAGTCCTGGTTGATCCACCCAAGCCACAAAAGAAAGCAGCGCTTGTCAAATCAAAACTGCTTCCACTTGATTGAAAACACTGAAACGTCATGCCATCTTTTAGTCAGCTTTGCTGTTGAATGGGTGGGGGCTTCAACCTGAGAGAATGCGGAAGAATTGCAAGGATGTCAGGTGTGCGACTGATAATATTGGTATTCAGCTCCTTTGGGTAAAATCAGGGCAGGCTCGCTCAACAGTGGGCACCATGTGCGGCGCAGACACCTTGGATGTGAAGCCACAAGAGCAGCAGAGCCAAGAAAGCTTCAAAGCGACGGTGACCCTGAAGCAGATATCTTGAGATCACACACCTGAGCAGCAAGTTCTGGTGGATTGTCTGCGCGCACGGCATTGATGAATGAGTACAAAGAAGCAGTGAGGCATGGGCGGCTCGGGACTCAGATGGCTCAGGACTTTTTGCTGAAACTGGAGTGCCGGCACAGTCTCGGGCCAAGCTGTGCAGTGCGACACAGCAATACCAGCCTGTGTAGGTACGCAGGCCATCATCAATGAGCAGTCACGGCAGCGGCGAGATCGAATCCTAAACAATGACAAGTTGGCAGAAGCTTCCCGAAGAATTCCAAAGCTGATGTGAAACCCTCCATTGTGCGAGTTCAAAGGGACGAACAGGTTCGAAAAGCCTTGGAAGGGCTTTTCGCACTGCCAAAAACACATTGAGCAGGACACAACTGATGCGACTGAGCCGGAGCCAGCTTCAAAGCCTCGGATGGGTAATGAGTCGCCAGCATTCGGCATGAAGAGCGTGGCAACGAAGACGCTGAGCTTGCCGTTTTGGCGGGGCAGTCAACTCTTTCGGGTCCAACTGGCAGCTCTAGCATTGCCCTTTTTGCTGCAAATCTTGAGGTTGTTGGCAGCCCGGAAGAGTCGATCGCAATCGATTTGGAATGAATCTGCTTCAATGTGTAGTACTCGTAGCGACATATTGACCTGGGAATTTTGAGACAAGTTGTGCACCCCTGCCGAAGGCAGTCTTCCTACTGGAGACGGAGCAGCCGGGCCTGCAGACGCTGATCTTTGGCAGCGCCTTTGTGGCTGTCACCTCCTTCTTCGGCCTGGCGCCTCGCTTCTTATTATTTTGTTGTTTGTCCTACCCAAAGGATTTCGAGGATGCCGGGGTGTTACTGTAACGGACCTTGTTTGGAAGTTGAAACAGGATGCCGATGGTAGGATAGAGAATCTCAACCCAGGAACGCATGATGGGAAGCCCCCCTTTCAGTTGAGCCCCAGGTAGCATTACGATTTGTCCCTGGGCTTGTTCTAGCGGATTTACCTGGTGACCATCATTTCCCTTTTTGAATCTGACAACTGCCTTAGACAGATTCCGAGCCTCGATGATCAAGGCAGAACTTTTGGTTTTCCAAACAAGGAGTTTGATGCTAGGCTTGGCCAGCAAGTAGCACCCAACAAACAGCCCACTTCAAACGCTTCAGTATGTACCACAGAACCACGCCTATCCTCGCAAACGCTTTCAGTTCGAGACTAAATCACCCAAGGTGCTGTTTGTGGGCGTTCCTTTGGTTGAGACCTCACCTCAGAAGGTTCCTGTTTTCTCTCTTGGGGACTATTCCTTATTTCAGGTTTGTGATTTGCCCAGATCCGTCATGAAGCCAAAAATGCCCTTTCGGGGTCCAAGTACATTACATCAGCTCACTTGAGGAAACTTACAAGTCGGATCCTTGCCAAAAGTCAAAGGCGTCCACCATGCAGTCAAAGCCACCTCCAGTGGCAGGTTGATTAGCCTGGAAACTGGTCAAGCCAATGCGTTCAAATTTGAGAGGGTGAGATACATTGCCCAAAATCTTGGATCCGAACGCTTCTTCCCGGTCCGGTTTTGGTGGGCTAGATGTTCCGGGTGCTCCCTGCAACGCACCCTGTGGAGATTTGGACACCGAAGCTGTATGGCGCCAAAAAATTGGACGCGCTGGAACTTCGAACCCAATCAGAAGTGTCCCAAGGAGTTGAACCGCAAGCGATGGTTTTCTTCGACTTTCTTAAGTTTGATTTATGGTTTTTCTTGGGTCGCTTCCCCAAAACTGGTCAAACTCCCGCAATGAGAACAAACCAAAAACTGGTTCCGATCTACAGACACATTAAAGTTTCCTGTGGTTTGTCCTATGCCTTCGGCCCCAGCAGCCTGCGTTCTGTTGGGTCGCTCAGGTCTACAACGGCCTGGGCCAACTAGCGCTGCTCACCTCGGCCGGGGCCAAGCCGGGCCTGGATGAGCCCACAGTACTCTTCGGAGAGGCCGGGTTGGAGTGGCGGTTGGTTTCCTTTTGGTTCCTTGAAAGCCACTCAAAAGGGTTACCATCAGAAAGTCACCATTTTGGGACAACCGCGCGCATTCCCGCAGCACGTCCTGTTTCGCCAGTTGCCTCCCAAGTTGCCTTTGGAGGCGGTACTGGTGCTGCTGTCGGCGTTCGGCTTCAGTACTCTCAGCCGAGGCGGGCCCACAGCGGGTGAGGTTCAGGAGAAACTGAAAAACGTGTTGCTTCAAAGACCATCTTTGTCGTTTCCCTTTAACAGGACCTTCTTTGGTTTGGTTGGCGAAGCACATGAGGTGCATGGGTTTTGCCTCAGTTTGGGGTGCCGGAAATGAGGGCCGAGCCCCGAGCTTCAACCACAAGCATCAGGCTTGGTGGTAGAAGTATATTTTGGCTGTGGCTCTGGGTTCTTTGTCTTGCGACATGATGCTTTTTGCGTGGCAATCCAACCCCAATTTACAGTGAATTCGGATTGGAATTGGCAACCCTCATACATAAAGAGGAAAGGATGAAAGAAAGTTGCGCCACATCCTGGTTGCAGCACAAGGCTATTTCTCGAGGAAACTTGGAGCTTCACATGCTTCCAAAGTTGTGGCCCTCCACTGGTTCATTGTGTCCCGTTTTCCTGCTTGCGTTGCCAGTTTACATACCTTCAGTTGCTTCACTATTTTCAGCTTTTGCTTCGACCAGTTTTTCCTTCAGCCCGTTTGCAAAACTCGACACCTCGCCGTCCCGATGGCAGCCCGCACGGAGCGGCTGCGGCGGATGGACGCGGAGCTGCGCTTCAGCGCGCTGCCGCTGAAGCTGACGGACGGCACCGGCCTCGAGAGGAGCTCTCGGCGAGTCAGGGCAAAGCTCCGGCGAGGTTACTGGGCAACAATGGGCAACAATGGGCAACATGGCAACTTTCAAGGGCGTCCTGGTATTTCCCACGCTGCACAGTCCCGACTGGTTTTTGGCGAATGGTTCCAGGCATGTCATCCTCCATGCCGAATGGGAGACTCTTGTTGGTCCAAGGGATTCTTTGTTGATGGACGACCACTAGGGGTTTTGGTTGGTCTTCACTTTGTAGAAAAGAGCGCTTAAAATGCACAGCTATGCATGGGGTATGTCAAGATGAAGAATTTCCGCACGGTTGGCTGCATGTTGGCTCACTTGTAATTCCATTCGCTTGTGACACCATGCCATGTGTGTTCGTCACACAATAGGAAGCTTTCTCTATGGTCCCCCGACAAAAATACCATCCAAAAGAAGGACTGAGCTTCTTCAAGATCAGCGGCCAAACGTCAGGAGGCTGTCAGAGCTCGCCAGCAAGCGCCGAGTGGTGGTGCTGTTCGCCCCCACGGAGGCATGGCGACTTGGTTTTGCGGACGCAGGTGCTTTGGTTGAAGGAGAGACTGACACCAGGTGCCAGCCTTTTCAGCAAAGCAGAAACGATCATCCACCGACAAGTGTTTTGTTGTTCATGTTCCGCGCAGCAGCGCAATTTAGATTGGTGACATTGGCACATCCTAGTTTCGGCATGTGGTCTGAATTCTGCTTGGTACGTCCTCAAGTGGTTCCTTTGCGCAAACTGTCGGTTCGGAGTGAATGGGTGGTTTAGTAGCTCATCCTGCGAACAGAAACACATCTCAATTGGAACAAGCTGTTGCACGAGAGCACGGGTGCTGCAAAGCCCTACCGAATGGGCAGGCTTTGCTCTCGGCTCGGGTGCTCATCCATTTCCTGCAGTGCCATTGCTGTAGGTTTTGAGTGGGATTTGCAGTGATGGGCATCAGTGGACCTGGCCACGTTTGAGATGCAAACTTGAAGGAATATGGGTGGGACCCTGGAATCGCATTTGCATGTTTGTTTCCCCTTTAGTGGGGAAGACTCGAACAATGGAGTTGGGACCTTCCCCTGACATCGATGCCATGTGCGGCAGCTGCCCAAATTCACGAAAGCCTCAGCAAAGTCACTGGGCAAAGCTCCTTTTTTCGAGCTCCAGTCCTCAGTATGTTCTTACAAATAGCAAACATAGGCTGGGCTAAAGCGTTAACCGTAGGTGGTCGCTTGTCTTGACTCTTAATAAGTATCCACTTGGGCCACCATTTTGGCTCAAGTGGACCTTTTGATCCTTTGTCTTGTGATTTGAAATCTTTCTTTCCCCTACTCTCAAAGCCATGTACGCCCCCGCCTACGCTGGTGCCGCGGCAGCAGAGGCCAAGGCTAAGGCAAAGGCCTCCATGGCAAAGTACCTGGCGAACCTCGTGAAGAGGGAGGAAGAAGGATGGACCGTTTTGGCTGCTGAGGTCCCTCAGGCACCTGACGAGCGTTTCTTCTCCAGCGCAGATGAGCTGGAGCAGGCCCCCCTTATCCCGGCCAAGCGCAAGGCAGAGGATGAGCCGATGGAAGATGCAGCCCCTGGGGTGGCGCAGGTGCCGAAGGCCCTGACACGCCCCCCAGGGGCGTTCCTGGAGCTCCTGAACCCGCCGGAGGAGGACGTGCCCATGGAGGAGCTCCTGGCGAAGGACGAGAAGGAGCTGCCGATGCCCAGGTTCCCCTCGGCTGCAGCCCGCTTGGAGGAGGCCCGCCTGGATGCCCGGGCAGACGCCAAGTGGCAGAGGCGCCGGGAGCTGATGGCGAAGGTCAAGGAGCAGGCGTCCTCGGAGGAGGATGAGAACCCCGCAGCCCCCCCGCCGGGGGGGAGCGTGTTCACCAAGGCCCTCAAGGTCTCGGAGGGCCTCTACCAGTTCAGCGACGACCAGATGGCGGGCGACTTCCCTTGCTTCGATGCGACCACGGCCACTAGGCTCCGCCGACTGCAGGCCAAGGACGTCCAGCGGCTCCTGCGAGGCTTTGAGGGCCCCCAACTCAAGCAGGGGGGCCTGGAGCGCGTTGTGGAGGCCTTCTACATCGCCAAGATGAAGTACGAGCATGAGGCCCGGCTCAGCACCCCGGGACAGCAGGTTGGCAAGCGCGCTGGCTTGGGGTACGGGGGCCTGGAGAACCGCCTGGGCAAGGTGCCCACATCCTGGATCTGCCCCTGCTGCACCATGCCCTGGGTGAAGAAGGGCGCCACGAAGTGCATGGGGTGCGGCAAGAAGACGGAGCCCATTGACATGGCGACCAACTCGGCCACCCTGGAGATGGCGGGCACGCATTGGCAGTTGACGGTGGATGACCAGGGCAATGCGGTCTGGACGGCGGCCCGGTCCGCGGGTGCCGAAGGCCCTGACACGGACCGGGCCCGCGACCTCAAGCTCAGTGCCTCGGTGGACGTCAGCGAGCTGGCCACCGACCCGATGGCCTGCGAGAACCCGGACCAGGCCAGCTTCTCGGACTTCGTCCCCTCCTCGGTCCGGGCGGTGATCAGGAACTGCCCCATGGAGCTGGACGAGGAGTTTATGAGGAGGTGATGGAGGCCTGCTAACCTGGACTTGGACCTCTTCCGTGAGAAGCTGCTGGACAAGCTGGGTGCGGACTGGGGGAGACCCACACCGGAGCTCCTCCAGGCCCAGACCACTGCGGAGGAGGCGAAAGCGAAACACCAAGCCAGACAGGCGAAGGGCTCCCTCGAAACCAGAATGCTCGAGCCCATCGCGCCTCCCTTCAGTGCGTGGCCTAGCGAGGTCCGGGTCGCCATTGAGACTGGGGTCTTCGAGCCGACAACGGCATGGAGGGACTTCAGTATGGACGACCTCACATCCCTCACGGACTCCTACCTTGAGGCCAAGGCGGTCATCTCGCTGGGTAGGAATCCCTTCCCGGCGGCCCTCCTGTCAGATCTGCCGGACCTGACAGGGATCCCCATGCCAAAGGCGGGGGGCTCTGGTGCGGCGCGCCCAGGTGCCGAGGGCCCTGACAGGCCGCCCACCATCCCCCCAGCCTCGGGCTCTGGCGTGACGAGCTCAGGTGCCGAGGGCCCTGACAAGCCGTCCGCCACCCCGGTGGGCCTGGACACCAAGGACCCGGAGGTGCAGCTCTCGGTCCTGCGCTGGATGATGAGCAAACGGGTCGGAGAGGTCCGTATCTTTGCGGGCCGCTGGGTCCGACGACGGCCCGGTACACGTCCCGGATTGGGCGAAAAACCTCACCAAGGTGAATCCGGAGGCGTTGGAGAAGGGTACGCATCCCAGGAACCACCAGGCGGGTGGACTCCCCTGGGCCAGGTACTCCGTTGATGAGTTGAACCAGCAGGCGAAGGCGGGGACCGACCCTACCCTGGGGACCTGCGATCCATCTTTTGGGCTGCCCCCCACGATCCGGATGAGGACTTCCACTGGACGCGCCAGATCTCGTCCTGGACACTCCCAGGCCTACTGGGGATGTTCGGGCACAGCTACACCCTGCGCCAGCTCTGGGGAGTCTGGGAGTCTCTGCCACTGCTGCAGGGCCCTAGGCAGCGGGGCCCGAAAAACAAGGCCCAGAATCAGACCCGCCTGGAGGGCTGGGAGACCCTGAAGGAGGACGCGCGGTGCTTCCTGAAGGAGGAGGGCCTTCCGTTTCCGCAGACAGGACCGGAGTGGCGATTGGTCTACCGGGCCATGGGCAAGGTCCTCGCGGCCCGGGCCTTCCTCACGGACACCCCGGCGGAGGTGATGCAGCTCCCGGTCCAGGACGTGGCGGACTCCAAGGAGCAGATGATCCTGCGGGCGGTATGCGACGAGCGCATCTCGGTCCCGGTGGAGAGCCTCCAGCAGTTCCCAGAGGTGTACAAGGCCCTCATGGACCGCATTGGAGGCCCGGGGGCCCTGGCGGAGGTGAAGGTCAACTGGCGCTGCAACACGAAGCAGTGGTGGGTCGGCGCAGTCCCCGACTCAGTGGCCCCCTCCATCTACCGCAAGCTCGGCTACACCAACGACATGATCAAGCTGATGGGCCTGGACCCCTCCGCCCCTGGGTGCCGGACAGGTGCCGATGGCCCTGACATCCGCCCCAGGGGAGGCGAGGGCGATGAGGGGATCGTTTACCCCCCCATCACGGCGGACAACGTCCACGGCGTGGTGGGTAAGGACTACCGGAAGAAGAACTATCCGGTGGAGATGAAGCATGTCTTCTGGGCGCACATGGAGTGTGGCCTGGTCCTGAGCTCCGTCACCCCGTGGGAACTCATCCCGAAGACAAAAGGGGAGACCCGGGGGGGCTACATGTGCAAGTATTGTAAGGGGTACTGGCGTGCCGGGGGAGGGGGCACCCGCCTCCTCCAGATCCGGGCCGGCAAGGCCATCTTGCAGCTGGTGTTGGACGAGCCGCCGGAGGGCCTCTACAACCGCTGGGTGAAGGAGCGGCTGGAGTACTACCGCCGGGTGGAGCCCTCGGCCCCGTTGCGGGACGTCTCCATCGTGGACCAGAAGGTGCCCAGGTTCAGATTCAGCCAGACCACCCAGACAGGCCACGTCTCCAATGCCATCTGGGAGCTGATTCTGCGGAATCCGGAGGCTGCTGCGCTCAAGCGCATCGATGACATCGCGAAGGGGGCCGCGTGATGATGCGGGACAACGCCATCTTCCGGCACACCATCCAGGACCGCGGCCATCCGGAACGGATGCGCAGCGCACCCCGGGGGGGGGACAGCTGCCGAAGGCGCTGATATCCCCCCCCAGGGAACAGCGCAGGCCCAGACTTGCACCAGGCGAGGAAAATTGGCGCGGCTTGGGCTGATCCGGGGTGCGCCTTGGTTCCCCTCTCTTGTTTGGTTTTCCCTTTTCGGGGCGGCTCCCTGGGTCCCCCTTTTTCCCCCGTTTCCTCCGTTTCGGGGTTGACTTTCCGGGGTTTTGGGGGGCCCCCTGTTGTTTGGTTGGGGTTTGCACCTAGGGACTAGGCCCCCGGCTCGAGTGGATCATGATGATGTGGAGGCCCCGCCTCCCTTCCCCGTTTGGGACGACCTTCCTAGGGGCGCCAACCGCGCTCCAGTTGATTTTGCATGACCTTGGATTTGCACCAGTGCAGTCGGACGGGGAAATCCTCGTGGCGTGCTGCCTGGAATGGGTCAAAAAGGACAAGGTCGCCAACCCGGATGCGGTGGTCTTTGACCCGCGGCCGTGGACACGGATCGTGGGGCTGGCACCTGACGGCAACCACGTCCTGGTGGCCTCGGACACCTACAACTTGATCCTCGCGAGGATACTCGGCTCCCAACCACAACCGCTGGAGGAGGCGGATTTGGAGCTCGCTACTAAGACCCTGCAACAACTTCTGTTTCGTGCGGCAGGCGCCAGGCAATCGCACACCTATTCTCCACTGGAAATGGAACAGGCCATCCGGGACCGCGAAGAGTGGATCCTTTCCGGATCGATTGAGGCCCCGGATGTCCTGGCAGTGGCCAACAAGTGGCGGCATTGGAAACCAGGGAAGATCAAAACCCAA